AGACTTTACTCATGAGAGACATTGTCCATTTAGAGCCCAAATCAAAATGTTTTCCCAGGACCACATTTAAAAGGCACAGAGAACCAGTGTTGTGGTTTAAAAAAAAAAAAAAATGGCCCCTATAGAATAGAGAGTGGCACTATTAGGAGGTGTGGCTTTATTGGAGTAGGTGTGGCCTTGTTGGAGGAAGTGTGTCACTGTAGGGGCGGGCTTTGAGGTCTCCTATGCTCAAGCTATACCCAGTGTTACAGCTTACTTCCTGTTGCCTGTGGATCAAGATGTAGAACTCTCAGTTTCTTATCCAGCACTATGTCTGGCTGCATGCTGTCATGTCTCACCATGATGATAATAAATTAAATCTCTGAAACTGTAAGTCACCCCAATTAAATGTTTTCCTTCATAAGGGTTGCTGTGGTCATAGTGTCTTTTCAAAGCAATAGAAACCCTGACTAAGACAGCCAGTAAGCAGACTCCCCAGTTTATGAGGTATGCTAAGGTATGCTAAGAAACACAGCATAGCTCTTAGTTTTAAGCTCTCCATGCCACACAAACAAGGTTAAAATGAAAGACAACTTAAAACTAAACATTTCATGTTGTCTTTTGTACACCTCTTGTAAAAATAAAGATAAACAGGATTGCTGATGGATATTTTTTTTTTTTTGTATTTCTAAATAAAATCAGTTCAATGCTAGCATTTTGAGCTTGGTTCAAGTTAGTTACTAATGAGAAAGAGGCATGGCCTATTGATTAGCAGTTTCAATGGCATATATATGTGAATGGGCATCTTCTGTGCTTGGCTATCCATTTTCTTTGCTTTTTTCCCTGCCATTGTCAATTCCTTAATTTCTTACTTACTAAAAATTCGATTGTGTAAGACACTAATGCTTAGGATTATTTCTGTAGAAGTTAGTTGGTACAGGGTTAGGGTTAGTACCATGGGCTTTTTTATGTTGATTTTATAGCTGATAAATACTTTAGTAAGTCAGTAAGTAATTTTAAAATATTTTTCATAAACATTTAATTGAGAAATGAGAAAATATTATTTTTTCCTTGCTGTCCTTTGGTACCATTTTTTCCTTAGGCTGTTTAGGTTTTTTCTAGCCTGGGTTAAACTGTAGAAGTTGTAGCTTATATCCTTGATAAGGTATACAAACTCTCCTGGTACTCTTGGTTGGTTGATGGTTTTCTTGGCTTTGGTGGCTTTCAAATGAATAGCTGTTGATTTTTATTGTATGTCTCCTTTCATTATTAATGTGTTAGCATTTTACTGATGACAAATGCCCAAGATAAAAAGCTTAATGGAAGAGTCTCCTAATCTCAGAAGTTTGAGCCCATGTCGGGCTTCCTTGATTTTAGGCTATGGCAAGGCAGAACCTATCATGGTGGCAGAGGAATAAGGAAAAAATGGGCAGACCTGATCTCAATATCCCCTTGGAGAACATTCCCTCACACACCTAACTTCCTCCAGTTAGCACCCACCCTTGAAAGGTTCCAGTGCCCCCCAATAGTTCCGTATGCTGGTCACCAAGCATTTACCATGTGGATCTGGGAAGTATTTCCTGCGATCAACACAGAGTTGTGGTCTAGAAAGGGTCAGGGCCGTGTCTCAAGCTGGCAGTTACTTTGATGATATGTAAGAGTCTCCCACATGGTGCTCATTTTGGTGGCATGAAAGCTGGAGGATCGAAGAGGTCATTGAGAACAACAACTGAGACTTGGTACCATGTGACAGGGTCAGAGTGCCCAAAGATAGCCCGAAAGGCCATTGGTGAAGGTGCAACCTCAGTCACAATGGAGAACACAGCATATCAGAGGGGCCAGGACTTAATAGGATGAGCATCAAGGATAGTGGAAGGCCTGAAATGGAGCCTGCCTGAGCCTTGAAAACATGCTCTACACTGTGGGTAGTAGAGCCCAAGACATGGAGCTGCCTGAGCTATTTGGAGCCCAGAAGATCATGAGTTAGGCCAAAAAGTTGGACATTGAGTTTATTTACACTCTTAAGAGTTTGGATTTGATTTGCCGTTGTGCCCTGGCTATTCCTTGCTTTTTATTTTTGGAATCCACAGACTTGGGACTTTTAAAGAGACATTATGTTTTTAAAGAGAATTAGGCTTTTAAAATGTTGAAAAAGTTAAAGACTGTGGGACTTTAAGAAAGTATAGTATGTTCTATATTACTACTAATGTAAGACCTTAGGAACAAATGAGAAAGAAACGATTATGATTGAATAGTGATGCGTTTGGCTGTCAAATTGACAAGGGGGTCAATTGTACTGTTCTTTGCATTGTTAATTTGACACAAACTAGAATTATCTGGGAAGAGGGAACATCGGTTAAGAAACCGCTTCTACCAGACTGGCCAGTAGGCAAGTCTATGTGGCATTTTCTTGATTAAGGGTTGGTGGCAGAGGACCCAGTCCACTATTGGTGGTAACACATCTGGGTAGGTGATTCTTGGGAGGTAGAAGAAGGATGAGCCTGAAGATAAGCCAGAAGGTTATCATTCCTCCCCAGCTTCTGAGGCAGGTTCCTGCCCTAATGTTTCTTCTTTCCTTCGGGATGGGCCTTAAGCTGTAAGATGAAATAAACCCTTTCCTCCCCACATAGCTTCTGATCATGGTGTTTATCAATGCAGGAGTAGACAGCAAACTAGGACACCTGCTTGGCCTATACTAAAGTATCTTCAGCAAAGTCTCCAGCTCCTGCTCCATAGGCCAGCTGCGGTGCTGAGGGTGGTGGTGTAGAGCTGTGCTTGTCTCTCACTACTGACATGCCGCTGTCCTGTGTCATTTTGTATTTTTCTTACCATTCTAGCCAAGGCTAGAAATAAAATGCATTTTTTTTTCTGACACTAAGCAGCCCATCTTTCAGAGGAACCCTTTGTTTCTTTGCCTATTTTAGTAAACATCTGGGCTTTGCGTTTTAACTGGATCAAAGAATACCAAGTGATTAAGATAAATGATATTATTATTTCTGCAGGCTCCAATTCGTTTGTGGATGGTATAAGGGAATTATTTGCATAAATGATATTTCAGATTTCAGGATGTTTTGACCATCTCTATTATCCATTCTGGACTATGTTCGGCTCAGTTACAGCAAACTTGACCTGTATCATTAGCTTTGCAAGGATTGCCTTTCCTGCAGATTCCTTGATCTGTATGGCACTCTATGTTCACTTTTACCTTAAGATACTGAAGGGCTTTTCCCTGGAGGGTTTCTGAACTACTTACTTCTGTTGGTAGGCTAATCCACAAGCCCTGTTCAGCGCTGATCTGCATTTCATTTCTTTGGTGGTGAGACACTCACAACCTGAAAAGAATTTTTAATTCCACTTGAAAGCAAAATTACCTTGCCACGTTTCTTCTCCATCATCATGGTGGCTCACTTTCTTGCCCTTTCAGATAACACATGCTTGCTTGCTACATTGTTACTCTATTTGTTTATAGTGTTTGTTTACTAAAGAGCTTTATCCACTTACTCTCACAGAGTTGCAAGAAAGCAGTCTTCTTGAAGATTCTAAACTCCAATGACCCCAGTAAGTAAGGTTTCCACAAAGCATGGTTTAAAAATCAAAGGAATTGTTTCTTTCTCTTCTTTTTGCATCATTTTTCATTTTTTCTTTGTTGCCCTCCCTGTCCCTCCTTGACTCTTCTGCTCTTCTGCTCACGTAACTGCCCCCCACCCCCCGTTTTTCACTAACTCCACTTCCATGACTGGGAAAGGGCACGGCTTGGCAATATTATCAGCATATCCATATGGAATTGGATTTATCTTTTTGTTTTCTTTTTCAAGACAGGGTTTCCTCAGTGTAACAGCTCTGGCTATCCTGGAACTAGCTCTCTAGATCAAGGTGGCCTTGAACTCACAACATTTCTCCTGCTTCTGCCTCCCAAGTGCTGGGATTAAAGATGTGTGTTGCCACTGCCTGGCTGGATTTATCTATTTTTAAATCTGCACATTTTATCATAATAAACAATGGGACTCATGATTACATTGTCGTACATGTATACCATGTATTTCTCATTCACTCCTTCCCATACCCTCTCTTTTGTGTCTGTCCATCCATGTCCTGTGTCCCCCGCCCCCCACCCCAGCATCCTCAAACCACCCCTGTGTTTTTGTGTCTTTTGGGGTTTGCAGTGCCTTTTGCCTTAGGCTAAGGTTTCCACAAGTCTCCACATGCTGTTTCCCAAAGTGAGGTACTGCTCCAAAGTTTCAATTATGGCTTCTTGAGACGTTCGGCCAGAAAGTGGGCTGCTTTTACTTCTAGTAGGAATAAAACACAGGGAGGCAGTTTCTTCTGAAGTTGTTAAGAACATTACCCACTGGATCCTGAGATTACCTGAAAGAATCACTTTTGAGAGGGCACCTTTTGACACATCTGTACCTGAAATCAGGGATACACGAAATACTTCCTTAAGTGAACGGCTAAGTGTTTGAGTCCTTTAAATACCATGACAAAAGTTCAAAAGGGCCAGTTCCCTCCCCCACCCCTTTCCAAAGATGAGTATAGCCTCTGGATTTAAATATAGGCCTTTCAGAGCTGGAACTGCTTCCAGGCAGAGAGGTGCAGGGAAAAAAAAGTGCCTTTGAAGAGTCCTGTGAATGTGTATGTGATGTAGTATGAGCCTGCCTGCACGTGTGTCAGAGTGAATCTCTCTCTCTCTCTCTCTCTCTCTCTCTCTGTGTGTGTGTGTGTGTGTGTGTGTGTGTGTGTGTGTGTGCTTGCTGGCAGGAGGGGCTGCTTCAGCTCAGCCAGCCAGCGTTAAGAGTGAGAAAGGGAAGCAATCGACCTATTAACAAAAGCTCAGTTTTGTCCCTGCTGACCAACTAGCAAGCAGAAGGGATGGGAGCTGAGGCTCCCTGCCAGGGGGGTCGGGCTCCCTGCAAACAGTTGCAGGCATCCTTGCCACGCCTTCCTTAACACGCCCTTCTCTGTCTGGGGAGTCCAGAAACTTGGCGGCGGGGAAGTAAGTTTTCGGAGCCACTGCAGCGGCTGTGGAGGAGACCAGCACACAGTGTGTTTGGAATCTCCAAGTCTCTACCTATTTGTGTTGTGTGAGTTAATGGATTTTTAGTACAAAGAAAACCTAAACCCAGCTGACTTGAAAGACTGGAATTTCAGCTCTCTTCCTTTGCTGGGATGTTTTCTCTCCCCTTTTCTCTGAAAACTCTCTAAACCCGATCACCAGGTCAGTGACCAGCCCTCCACTTCCAAGGGTGTCTAGCTTTTGGCTCGGAAAGAGAACCACCACCTGTAAGTACCTGCTTGCCATGCTTGGTGCTAGTCTGCTCTTGAATGTGAATGTTCTGTTTGCGGAGTGCCCCAGAGGTGGGCAGCTGTAAGCCACAGTGAGCGAAGGCTGCAGGGCAGCTTGCAAAACTTTAATTCTGTTAACTCAGAAGGCGGGCACTTTTGTGTTACCAAACCAAACACCAAAGATGGAATTGGCCCCTCTGTCCTCACTGTAATTCTGATTCCACACCCAGGGGCACTCGCAAGGAAATAAAGTTTACATTTTTTGTGAGAATTTCCCTGAAGTTATAGTATCTTTCTCAGCTAAAGGAAATGGCAAAGAGAAAAGATGCAAAATTAACAGGACAGATAATATCAGGGGCCAAGAATCTAGAGCATGGGTGGTCCTCAGGAACCTTTGAATAGCTTAATTACATTTGGATATGTTGTTTCAAGTATGAGTCTTGTTTTGTAGTGATGAAAGGTAGTGCGAGGGAGGCAAAGGAATCATTCTGAAATGTGGCTGGTGTTTAGGCTTGCAGCTAATGAATGAGAACTGGTCCAGAGACTTTGGTACTGTATTAAGTAAACAATTTCTGGGAGTTTTCATCTGAGTCACAGGCATCACTTTTAAGGCAAAGGCATTTAATTTTAGTTTCTGGATTTTGCTTTGTTTTGTTTACTGTGGCATTCAGTCTTGAGTGATACGAATTACAAAGAGCTTTCAGGGGCCAGTTTGTGTTTACTGGTAGGAATGTTGCTGGAGAGATTAACCTCTTCCAGGCTCCATGCTCTTTAGGCTTCTGCTCTGGAAAATCATGGCTCTTCAAAAGCTGCAGAAGTTTCATGTTGGGGATTGTCCACTTGGTAAAAATGCCTTCTACGTGACTTTGTGCTAAAACTGCCCTTTCCATTCTAGAGTGGGAGGGAGGAAGGAAGGGAGGGAAGGAGAGGAGATGGGGAGGGGAAGGAAGGGAGAGAGTAAAGGAGGGGGGAGAGAGGGAGAGGAAGGAGAGAGAGAGAGAGAGAGAGAGAGAGAGAGAGAGAGAGAGAGAGAGAGACCTTTGGGACTTGGTGAAAAAAAAAAGATTTTCTTCTCAGGCCAGTCTGAAACAGGTGATAACTGCATTTGAATAAACATTGCCATACACCATTCTTGGCAGTTAAATTCTTGTCATGTATTTGGTTAATATCAAACTTCATGACTTGAGCTTATGCTGAACATGGCTTGGGTACAACATAAATTTGCATTCTAGACTGTCAAACCAGGACTTTCTAACCATTGTTCTGACCTGACTTCCTATGATCTGCCTTTCTGTTGCCAACGAGTGACAGTGATTTGGGTGCAGGTCCTGGGATGGCACATTGTTAGATGTTGGTCTGTACAGCCTGTCTGCCCTTCGGAACTCAGCTAGGCTGCTCTTGGACATTTATCTCTGGGGGTGTTATTCACTAACTGGGGATGCTGCAATGCTGGGGTGAGGCTGGAGTGGGTTGGCTGAATGAAGCTGGATTTCTTAGAAGACAGCAGGAGCCTATTCCTAGAAACTAAGTTTGTCTCAGGCCAATCCTCAGTAACTGAACAGGAAGTGGCTCTTCATGCTGCAGTCCTCATGTGACAACAAATGAAAGCCAGGACAGCCTGCAACCCCATCCTGGGATTTGATAGCATCCAGCATTTACTGTAGAAACCAATCAGGCTGTACTTATCAAGGCCCCTTTCCGGCTTCCTCCTCATGCCAGGCACACTCCTAGTTTCTACGAGTTCCAAAATGACCAATATAGATGGCATGGTCAGGGTCCTTGTCCTCACTGAATTTGCAGTCTCAACTGTTGCCCACCAGTCTTAGGCTAGCACCTGGATGTTCTAAACTCCCATTCCTCTGTTAGTGAAAGGAGACAGATCCACTGAGTTTCCTCTATTCTCTTCCATGCTGGGTCAAAGGCCAACCTTGCTAACAAGCTGCACACCCAGCCCCAAGTTTGGCTATTATTTTAACATTCACTGACTCTGTCGTCTAAATGTAGACATGGAGTACAAAGTCTCTTAAGCATTTGTTTGTAGGGTAGGCTCAAAGATTTGTTTTACCACTTTCCTGCCAAAATCTTACTTGTATCTTCTAAATTTTACCCTCACAAGGACCAGGATTGCTAGTGAGTGATAGATCAGAACATGCAGCCACCCCTCACAAGGGGATCAAGTAACTCCCTGGAAAGGCTGCCTCTCTGGGCCTGGTCACACAAGAGGGCACTCTCTTATCTTGTCTGAATCTGATGCAGCTCTCTCTTTGGAGACCTGGGTGGTCTGAACAGGCACACAGCTTGCAACCCGACCCTTCCATTCTGAGCCACTCAGCAACTTTGGTGCTACTTGGTGAGAAGCTCAAACAGAGGGCTTTGGTGCTGGGGAAAACAAAAGGCAAACAAAACCCCTGCTCCCAGATGGAATCTTGGTTGTCTAAATCTGGGATAGTTCCTTTTCCCTCTGTGACTGCAGCACCATTTCAAAGGACTTTAAAACTTGGCCATCAAGATAGGAGAGAGCTGTGTCTTTTTGGATAAATGTAGCCCCCAGTGGCCTGAGACACTGACTTAGATTGACCACAGGACTGGGATGTTGCAAAGTAAGCACACACTTAATACAGTGTTCCTGCCCCTTGATGGAAAGTTTTTGCAGAGGGCAAACATGGTTGTTTTGTTTGTTTTCCTTTAGGCTTGCCTGTTTTCACAGGGTTGGTGATATTTGGGAACGGGTATTAAAAGATCCTTAGGAAACACTCCATTGGGGCATCATTTGAAGGTTGCCCAGGTTGCATGTCACTTTGCAGTCTCAGCTTCATTTTCCTGCCTGAGACAGGGAGTAGATAAACACTCTAGGACTAACACAGAGCCTGCTCCCTGGGGCTCAGCTCTGCTTTCCATCAAATGCTAGCTGGCCTGCTCAGTGGTTACAGATGCTCTGCTCTCTGCTGGTCTTTACTTAAGGAATCACACACACCTTTGTTTCCTGAGGCCATGCCCTGGCATCTCACCCCAGGGTCTGCCTTTCTCCTTAGCACAACTATTCTTCCTTTGTTGACAATAGATTGGCAACATTGTAAAATAAGGAAGACTTTAGAAGGGGTAGAAACCCTCAGGATTGGCCCCTACTTTCTGCCAGATCCTAGAAGTCTTTCCCATGAATATGAGGGCCCTATTTCCCAGACAGTGATTTAATTCTGTCTTATGTTCCCCTCTAAGATAACGTGGTAGGTGTTTCTGTATCATCCCATAAAGCAAAAGATAGTACTGATGCAACAGCCGCCTGAACATGTTAACGTCAGTTCCAACCCAGGCTGTGGTGTTCCTGGACCTGGACCTTTAGTCAGGCCAGCCAGCTGCCTAGAGAGTGAAATGGAGGGCATAGATACTAAATTTGCTGGATGTTTGCATGAGGCACGTGGCATGCCTATTTTCAGTGATGATTTTTTCTTTAAGAGAGGGGCTCATACAGGTGTGAAGGCTGGAAAGGGGCAAACATGTGACAAATTGCATAACATGAAAAGAGAAATAGGTGGTGTAACTTTTTTCCAGATCCCTCTGACTAGGTAGAGGAGACACTAGCCTGCCACTGCCCTGGATTCTATCTCAGGCCTGGTTGTCTCTTGGTTCTTACTCATGTCTTAAGCTGCCTGAAACAGGTCCATCAACAAGTAAGACTGATGTGATTGGTATTGAAGACTAAAGATAGGAGGACAGTCATTCCATCTTTGTGACTCTTTTGACTCCAGAACTGGAGACGTGTATTAGTAGATCCAGACAAATGTATAAGGAGATGGATCATCTTGTTACTTTGCATTTTGCTTTATTGTGGCAACTGCTTCAATAAATGTTTGAGAATTTGTTTGAGAAATGTTTGAGAATTTGAAACTCTGGGGTTGCAGCGTCATGAGTCTGGACTATCAGCAAATGGACAGAGCTATTGAAGCATGCAAAGCATGGCCTCCCACCTCACCTTCCCCACAGACATTTTTTTCCTGCAGCTCTGAGGTTTCACTAGGGTCAGTTATTCGGCTAACGTACACTGTAGAGTTTCTCTATACAACACCCAGTGCCAGCCCTGGAGACACTTAGGCGAGCAGAAGATCCATGGCCTTTATCTTGAAGCTGCTTACAGGCCAGGGGACAAGACAGAAAGAAAAAAAAAAAGGCTTCAAATAGTGATGAAAAGTCTGTAGTGGCACAACACTGATCTGGGAGAGTGAGGTCTGGAGGGAATGGAGAGGATTTGGTCAGGTGAGTGAGGAGGTTGGTGAGTGAGTGAGGAGGTTGGTGAGTGAGGCAGTTGGTGAGGGAGGCAATTGCTGAGTGAGGCAGTTGTTGGTGAGTGAGGCAGTTGGGAGGAGAGGTTGCCCAGAGCAGATAGGCTCAGGAGCTGACACGGCACATGTTTAAGGACAGACATAAGTCACACTTGACCAGCAGGCCAGTGGCACTGGAAGAGCCTGGAGAGGGGGCAAGGGAAATCCAATCTTACACCCAAAAGGGACTCCAGAAAGGATACCATCTCCACACCTTCCCTGTGACAGGGGGCTGAACCCTTCTCATTGCTGGAACACTGATGGAACTATGTGGAACCATCCCCTGATTCTCCCTGATTCTCTGTCCTATAGCTGTGGTAAAACCGTACCTTCCTCAAATAACTGGAGACATCTCCCTTGCCCCCCTAATTACTTCCAAAACAGTTCTTCTTTATCTCATACACATGCAGTTAATTTTGGAGATATAGAGTTACACATTTTTTGCTTATTGAAGGCTAATGCACTGGCTGGCTTCCATCATTCCATCCTCAGATTATCAAGGCTGTGGATCTAGATTATATCCTCAGTGACAGCGATCAGACCCCAAGGATTTGTGCTGTCTGAGGATTGAATTAGTTTGTCTTCTACAACTTTGTTTGGGGACTTAGAACAGCACTGAGACAAGTCCCAGACATCTCTCAAGAGAAATGGTCTCTCTCTCCTTCCTCCCCTCCCTGCCTC